GCCACCTTAACCATAGTAGGCTCCATAGTAGCTTTCTTAACCCTAGTGAGCTCCCTGGGGTTTTGGGAGGAAATTAGCAAGCAATCATTTTTTTGCTGTATGATTCTCTTTTTACTTTCTAGATAAATGTTTAATCAAAATATTAATACTACAGTTACAGTTTAACGATTACCATTGCCTTAGGTCATTTTTAAGTAGTTCTAGGCTTTTCTAAACACAATTCTTAAAATTAATGTGGTTTATTAAGCAAAATCTGCAAGCATATAGGAGTTAATACAAATTTCTTAGGTGAACAGAAATATTAAATATATTTAAAAAAATAAATAAAAATATTTTGAGTAGAATAGAAATGAGAGCTAATAAAACTTTTAAGGAGCATCATTGTTCTTTGTTTTGTTTTTTGTTTTTTTTTTGAAAAATTTTTAGAATTGATATTAGTACTTTTAGTAAATAAACTTTGATTTGTTTCTACTTGCTTTCTAATTTACTTGGTGTGTTTAGATTCTTAAGTTTCTTAAGAACTGGTAAAGTAGTTTATATTTAGTACAGTGCAATTTTCTTTTTGATTCACTTTTATTTTTTTTGTTATAACTAGATTCAAGGTAGAAGATTTAATGAGAACAAATTTTTCTACACAGGAAAACTGATTCTGGTTTAAGTAAGTTTACAGTTTGAGTTTACAGGTTAATTTTAACCTGTACTCTAAAATTCTATTTATGCATTCAACATGAAAAGTTTTTCATTCAATTAAATGTTAAAATAGAATAAGAAAAATATCATTTATTAATATATATATATATATATATATATATATATATATATATATATATATATATATATATATATATATATATATATATATATATATATATACACACACACACACATATAAATACATACAGGGTGCAATGAATCGTTTTTTTTTTAATAACTTTTGACGTTTGTTTCTTTATTTATTGACAAAGGTCTAATTAAAAGGTATGTCAAATAACAGGGCAGACAAAGTAGGGGAGGATCCCCCGCACAAACACTTTTTTTTCTAAATGACTTTTTTTTTAAAAGAGAAATTCTAGATATAGAGGACTTATTTTTAGAAATAGATGGTTGTGCACCACTTCAAAAATCGAGTCGTCAGCCATGAATATGCCAGTTTTATTTCCCATTATTTCAATTTTTTTTTTTTTAATTAAAATACTTTTTGATTAAATTATAAGGGAGTTTTATTTTCAAATAACTCTTATTTTAGTTAATAAGTTATATAATTATTAGATATTAGGAAAGATTGCATAAGATAAGCAGGTTTCTAAGATGGTATTGGCTCTTTTACAGGTAGAATATTTTACAAAAATTGAAAAAAGAAGTTTTTTAGAGTAATTTTTAAATGCTAAATTTACGTATATTGAAAAACTTTAGATGTTTATAACTTTATTATTTGTTCATTTCAAATCATTTATTGAAAACACTGTATTCTATAATTCAGATTAAATCCACCTGCATCTCAAAAATCTACTTTGAAGATTTTTAACCAATGTTTTGTTAAAATTTCTAGTTTAAGAGGACACAAATGTACAACCCAGACGCAAATATCAAATTTACGTATACTAACTTCAAAAACTGCTATAATAAAGAATATTGATGAAAAATTTGCAGCAAAAGTTCTTTAAGAGAAATTTACCTCACAAAATAAGATTACCTTAGCATATTATCTTTTAAACTAAAAATAGGTATATCTTGTATCTATATGCTAATTTTAAAAACTCTATAACTATAACTATCAAATAAATCGAATGTAGGTAGTATCAATTGTGTTAATCCTGTCTGGACACATGATATGAAAAATCTAAAAATTCTTTCTTAATTTTTAAAATTCGATCTTAAGTTTTTGATTCCTAAGAAAAATATTCAAGGTATTATTTTTCAATAAATTATGCTATAAAATAATTTTGTGAAATTTTTTACCAACACTAGCTAATTTTATTTAGACCCACCGTTTTCGTAAAAAATATTTTGGAACTTCTATGGAAAATCATTGAGAAAAGGAAGATTCAACCTTATGATGCTTTGGTAGTTTTTACATAATGGTTTAGTATTTATACACAGTTACATTCTTTTGTTTTTAACTTGAAAATCTGTTTTAGATTAAAGTGTTTGCTCATGGTGGAAGTGGTAGTTTTAAGATAGGTCTTGGCATCATAAACATTTCAAACTATAAAAAGGATGTGCGTCTTAAAAGAAACTTTTACTCACAGGTACAAGTAGGCATAATGCAATTGATTTTTCAAACCTATTATTTATAAAATATACTATAATTGGCATTTAACTAAAAAAGCTAGTATACATTTTGCTTAAATAACAGGGTATTAATTCTGATTTGGCAAAAGAGGCATCAGTAAATAAAACCTTATTAATTGGAATTGTTACAAGTATAGAAGAATGTTACTTGAGTTGTAAGCAAATATGGAAAAAAGTTGGTCTATCCAAGATATCATATAAACTATCTGGTGATTTAAAGTTGCTTAACATAATTCTGAGACTAAAAAGCCCCAGTAAATAAAATTTTCCATTTAAACATTTACAGTGGTGTACACTATATTTTTAAATATTTGAATTTTGACACTTACAGGCATTGTACAAACTCTAAACTTTTGAATGTTCTTGCTTATGTCAAATGAGAATGTTTTGCAAAGAGTT